TTATATAAATAACGTAATATAATGATTAATATAATCAAATGTAAACAATTAAACTGTTGAAAATGAAACAAGAATACTTACCATCTTAGTAGAAGATTCTAATTCATTATTTAAAGAATTGTCTTCTATCTTTAACAATTCAGGTGCTGCGTGGAAAGTGGAAGACAATCATTTTAGCTAATAGGCCATTTTACCTTTCCAACAAAGATTAAAGCGCGTTAGCAGTTCAAAACAGATAATAAATTTATAATAACTAGTAAAGTAACAAGTTATAAAGAAATTCAATAAATAAAGATAAATATTTTGTGTTTCAAATATAAAAATACATTATTCTAAGTAAATACATAGCAATTTGTAATACTATACATACATTAAGTTTATTGTATAAAATGTTTAAATAAAATTCGTTACAAATCAAACCTGAAAATTTAAGTTGTGAGGTTTGTTGACTAGTAGGATCTTCCAACCAAAGCATACGTTCCTCGTTACTTTTTAATAATGTATCCCTCTTTTGTTTAAGTTTTTCTACTGTCACCCTTGTAGCACTTTTGTCATTATCACTGGATACATTTCCATTCAAACTTTCAAATCCATCATCATCTTGATGTACATTTTTTATATTTTGGTCTGGAACATTATCTACAGCAGAAAAAAATATATTTGACACTAAAACAAGCAAATACAACTACATTTGAAAATTTTAATACAATATATAGTATATTAACTTGATTGAGTATGACTAGTTGAAGCTTCATTCATGGGAAGAGGATTGTTCACAGCTGCATTTATTGGCTCATTATCACACAATGTTTGAGCAGTTTCAAATTCCTATAGAAGTAAATTACTATATATAAAGTTTTTAGAAGCTATTTTGACATATTTAAAATACTAAATTATATTTACCTGTGACCGATTAACAGTCAAAGGATTTTCAACTATAACTTTTTTAGCAAATCTTACAGATGTTAATACTTCACCGCTTACTGTACCAGCTTTTTCAAAAGCTGTATCTTGAGATGACTTGGAATCTTCATGCAAACCTGTAGAATACAAAATAAATACAAACTAGATTATAAATATACATAATAATTATACTAAAAGATTCTATTATATGCTTATAAAAATGGAAGAACATACGCAAGTTTTGCCTTGTCCTTGTTTTACCCATTCGACATCTAGTGTGTCGTAAACGTCTAACTACTTTTTGCTTACTCTGTCCATCAGCTACTGTTGGTCCTGAATGAGTTGACACAATATGAGAATGGACAATACATAATGTTAACATCATAATAGCAGGTATTAATACTTCAGACGTTGACACAATCTGTAAACATACATCTTATTTATCACATGTTTATATATACATTTACAACACTAACATAAATATTTCATACATCACTTTCATTGTCCTTAATCATTTGACAAAAATATATACACATACTGATCAATTGCAAACTATATACTAATAAAAATAAAGTAAAGATTTTTAAACTAGTCTGCTGTATCCACCACTTTCTGTATAAGGGAAGAAATAATAGACGTTGCAGTGCCAAGCAAGCTACTGTTGATAATCCATGCTTTGGCTTGGCTTTTGGGAAAGAAGAACCTGTATGCATTAATATCACATAAGATTAAATAATTATAAAACAAAATGTTTAATAATTATAAGATTAAATGTTATAAAATTAAATAATTCAATGCAAGCAAACTTAGATTATAAATTTTTAAATTGTATTACCTCTTACAAGATCTACATCAATAAATTCTGTTTTTAGTTTTGTAGTTCTCATTGGAACATGTGTAAATCCTCCAAGAATATGTTGTTCCACAGTTTTTTCCCATTGTTGCTTATCGTAAGTGCCAATTTTCTTTTGATACCTGAAATAATAAAATCGTTTATTATATTGAATGCACATTCAGTTATATAACTTTTTATTGAAATGTACTAAAATATAAAATTTCTTACCAATAAACAAGCTCATTCAGTTTCATTTTTGTCGATTGCTATCGCAGTTGTACAGAATGACTATTAATTCTTAATCTTAACCAATAATCGACAATGTTTGAACGAACGGAATATAATTTTCCGTATACTTTTGTTAGTAAGCTTAAAAAACATATTGCTCTCACAATACACAACAAACGTTATTTACAAACAACGTTATCATTCAGAATATTTCAGAGACCAAAAACATAAAATACAAACGTTCACGATCCATTTAATAATTTTACGCCATTGCCTAGAAACAGTGTTCAAAAGATTCCTAGCAATAATTGTGACAAACAGCAAATGAATTATCCTGGATTGGTTGTAGTTTACAAAAGTTTATTAGCTAAACCTGATATGAAAAAATTATCATGTGCGTATTATTTTACATACCAAATCTGTTTACTGTTAAGAGTGTCACATATGTATTATTGTATATCTTTTTCAACAACGGAATATAATATGACAACCAATCCAATAGCAATAAGTAGAGAACATTAGCTTTCATTGGTTAATATACTTAACAAGTTCTATTTGTTTTAAAATAACTTCAATAATCTTCTTTTAAAATAATTCATCTAAATTTGTGTTTTATATTACGTTTTTAAAATTT